AAAGAAACAGTTTTCTTCGCCCTCAACATACACTGTCTTATTCCCTTTAACCTTTTTGAATACCTATGTTTTATGCTAGTCTAGTCCTATTATCATCCTTCTTCTTTGCTTTGCCCGTCCACTTGGGCCTAGAAGAAGATGGTATAGACTAGGTTAGATTGATAGGAACGCCCATACTCTTGATTATCCCTTCATCTGTTACCAATTCTATAAGAATATCAGCGAGTGTGAACTCAAACTGATTCCTTAATTAGTTCACTCTAACAGAGTCGAACGAGTTTGGTAACAAGGCAATAATCATGTCAACTTGAAACTTACCACCCAAATCAGCCCTATTGATCTCCAGCTAATTTTAAATAATAAACAATCATTTTCCAAAATTTGATTTCATACTGGAGTTCCTTAGGCTATCTTAATGCTATTCAAGTCTGTCATCGTACTTTGGCATACTCTCTATCTAATCTCACCAAAACATCTTATTGACATTTAACATGATGCTTGAAGAAAATAAAATAATGTAAATGTTAGCTTTGGAGCGTATTCGAGGTAAACTGTAGAATATTGCACCAATTCATCTCATTTGCCTTATTTCACTTATTCAAAGCATTAATGTTCTCTTGGGTATCTTAAAGTAAAAGGATTAGGTTTTAGGAGTAGTAAATACATTTGTACCACCACGTTGTGAATAAAATATCTAAATTCCTTTTCTAGTCATTATAAATGAAGTCCACATACATTGAAATTAGCAAGCAGATAAAATGGATTAGACATAATTAGTCTGAATATATATGCATTCATACAATATGCAAGGTGAATTATTAATACTGTCATGCATATTTAAAATTAAAATGAATTTGTTTACCACATAATATAATAAATCTCAATCGAACAAGAGATCATTATCATTATTGGTGAACAATCCCTTTTAATTAATGTGGGTCCCTCAACTCTGTAGCATAATAAATCAACCAATCAATATGTCAATAACTTATCTTGTTGGAGGAGTTTATTATTACTATTGTAGAGATTCATTTGCTATTAGGTGAGAACTTCCATTAAAATAATATGTGGGTCCCTTAACCACTGCATGAAAAATCGGATAACCAATACACCAATAACTTATTCGGTTGGCGAAGTTCATTATTATTATTGGCGGGCAAATCCCATCATCTCCATATTTCTTAAGACAATGTCTTGTCTATCTATATGAAATAATTCCCGATTATGTTTAGCCTTTCTAAAATCACCTAATATAGACCACTCCGTTAGGGAGCTAACACTATTGATTTTAGATTGAGTGTATAACGTTATTAAAACTCTAATGAAAAATAAAACATTAAATATCTTGTCATTATAATCTAGACTCTTTAAATCATGCGTAGGGCCTTATTTTTAAAGATCTAATTACAATGAACATTTAATATTTTAATTTTCATGAGACAACCATTCTTGTAATATTAAGACTCTTCAAATCATGCGTGGGGCCTTATTTTTGAAGATCTAATTACAATGGTGTTAATAACGAAGGCCATGGGGCAATGTATAAAAATCCCCGCTCCCACTCAATTTTTTTTTAATCATTCATAATTAGGGTTTTCATTTTATTCAAATACATGATATGATGCATGCTAAACGTCTTGATTTTAATCCTTGATTTTAATCCAATTAAATTTAGAAAATATTTGGACTTTAAATGATTCACTAATATTTAATTTGAAGCACACTTTAAAAATAATTTACAAAAAAAATAATTTTTCGTTTCCCAATAAGTGCTCTCAAATTAATTAGTAATCAAAATCCAATTAATTTTCATAATTTAATTAATATAAATCAAGTCATTTAATTAAATATCATAGATCCAATGCATAAATAATAATAATAAACAATTAATTATTCCATGCATCAGTTAAATAAATAAATAACAGACAGAAACAATTTAAATGACCAATGGATTCAGCTTTTAACATTTAAATACTCTAAGTATTGCGGGAAGATCATCCATCGGCTTGCAAACACCCACATAAGGCTGGAACGCACCGGGAGAAGCAAAACACCGCTTGGAACGCGCCTGGAGGGCCCCACACGCGCTCACACGTGCCTGGGGCATGCTGCAGGTGAAGGCACGCGCCCCCACGCGCTGGCACGCGCCTGGGGCGCTTGGGATGCGCCTGCACGCGCCTGCACGCGCGTGGAGGTCATACACCTTGGATGGCGTGTGCAATGCACGCGCCAGCATATGTCACCCACCACATCTGATTCCAGCCTCCTCCGACGCCTCTTTTCGCCGCCGGCGATGCTCCGGCCACCGGAAAAACGCCGAAAAATTCCAGAAAATCAGAAAGATTCCCAAAAAATTAAATTAAGCCTCAAAAAATTCCAGAAAAATTCCAAAAAATTCAAAAAAATTCCTGAAAATTACTGAAGCATAATTTAACCCTTTTGGACCTTCTTGAAGCTTCATAGCATCCTTTGATGAATATTACATGGCTTTAAAAATATTTACAACTTGAAATACAATGGGAAAAATAAATTACATCATTGAACTTTCAAACGGCTAAATCAAAGCCTTAATTACATTCATCCAAAGATAAAATTACATTAATTTAACCTATAAGCTTCATCCATGGCCCAACCATACATCATCATTCATTCACAATTATTCATACATCATCATATATCAATATATATCAACATATTAAATCATACATCAACATACATCAATAAATAAATATATATGCATATTAAAATTGGATCCATGAATGATGAATTTTGATAAAAACATGATCTCTAGTAATGAATCAAACCATGCTCTGATACCACTGTTGGGAAACGTGCAAGTTTTAAAAACTTTTCGAGGGATTTTGATTCATAGATCTTGATTCATCACATAGAGACAAGTTTTATGCAAAAATAAAATATGATGTATCATTCAATTAAAAGATTGAATACTTACATCAAGGTTTGAGTAAACCTTAGATCTCTCCTCTAAAGTGAATGTTCTCACTTATTGTAGATTCCTTTTGCTAGACATCTTTTCCATGGATCTCCATCTTCTTGGTAATGGTCTTGCCTTTAGGAATCACTCATAAGCCTCCATGAATGACCTTGGATAACTAGGCTTGTGGGAGCCTCCATTAGATGAGAACATAAACCCTAATTTTCTAGAGAGAGAAAATAAATTCCTTTTTCCTTCTCATTAAAAATCACCCCCTAAAATATACATAGACCATGTATATTTATAGGCAACATAAAAATAAAGAAAAGGAAACAACAAATCCTTTTCCATCTCTAATTCATATGTCTCAAATCTAATATGATTCCAATATCAAGTTGGACTATGAGTGAGAATCCATTGGGCCTATTATTTTATTGGTTACAATGAATTAATAATTGGCCCGGTCCATGGATCCAATTCAATTAATTCATAAATTAATTTCTAATCCACTAAAAGAAATTAATTGAACTCCAATTAAATAATAAATAACCTCTAAGTCAATATTGCACTTTGACCCCTCTATGCATAATTAGTTATCGGATAAATAAAGCCATCAATCCGACTACTTAATTAATATATCTATTTTGGTACCTCTGATTATTTCTGGCTCGATCACAATAAAATATTTGTTTGACAAAAATAATAATTTAAATAAATAAATATATAATAAATCATTTTGTCTAAAAACACACGAAGGCCTTCGAATTTACTTTGTGATCAACCATAATCAATACAAAATAAATACAAGTAGCAATGATGCAAATATTGAAAATATAACCCTCTAACTATTAATTACATAACTACCCAAAGTGTCGGTATAAGGATCCCGAAGAATTCGCCGAACAAATCAAAGTAATTATTAATTAATAAAAGAGTCTATACTTTTCTCATGCTTAAGAGTCAAATGCCATGACGGTGATAGGGAGTAATTGCATACGACGACTCTCGCAATATATCTCAACCTAACGCGGATCCAGTTCAAGTCTTAATTAATTATGAGTCCATCCATAATTATCGACTATGAACAATTTATAATTACTATTTATATATCATGCATTGATTGCCATCACATACATATATATAAATATTTCTTGTAATTATATGGACATTATCAATTTCATAGTGAATCGAAACATAATACATTGAATTCATCAATTATATAAATCATAAATATTTCAGATATGTCAGGAACATATGTCACTATAATTCAGATAGAAATTTGCTATACCAACATATATAAATCCCAACACATATCTGGTAGGTCAACGACGCTGTCACCCCCACATTCTAAACCAAAATACCTTTCTCGGCACCCTGGGCCCATCAATATTATCCATAGCCACTCCTATCATCAATTAATCAACACGCCATGCTTCATATATATGTATGTATAAATATAGATATAGATTGTAAAGGAAGCACTAGTATACAAGAAGATGAGTACCGAAGGGGTTTTTGGTGTATCCATCCATGGTGGGACAGTGCCTGGTGCTGAACGACTTAGCGGCGTGGGGAGAAAACCCAGACGGGTGGTACTGCTGGTGGAGGGACGTCGAGAACAACCTTGACGCGGTGGTCAGAGGCCTTGCAGACGCCATTGATAAACGGATACTCATTGCGTGTGACTGTGTGTGAGAGATTGTACAGTGGGTTTCTACCATTTTTCCGTTCTATATAGGCCGGAGGAGACGTTGTGTCACGTGACCACAGATAGAGCCATTTATTAACTGGCAAGAGAAAAATACTTTGATGCATCGCATCGCATCATTATTAAACCAGCGGACCTCCTACCCGTTGGATCTTTTTCTTATGGATGAATATGGGAACAGTGATATCCATTGATTTACATTGTTTTGAGTCTTTTGATCAAACTATGACTCAATGCTTATACAGAAGGTAATATATGTTTTGCCATTTGAGTCACAATCTTGTAACATTATCTTAAATTTAGCATTTATTAATTTTTGTTGATTAAGGGTTGAATTTAAAACATAACACCCCCGTGTGACACAAATTTTCCATAACTAAATAGACTCGAAAATAACACACATAGCACCAAATGTGTGTGACAATTGATGGGCCAACTCTGTTATAGAGGAATACAGGGAGAACAATATCCAATCCACAAGAAAATCTTCAAACCAAACCCACTCGTGATTGGAGCATTTCTACAAACAGCTTGAATACACCCAAAAAGACAGACACATGAACTGATTAGTGGACATAAATTAATTAAAACCCAAATGAAATTAATTAAAACAAACCAACAATGTGCAATGAACCCTAAAAAAAAAAAAACAAAAAACAAAAAACAAAAAAAAACCAAAAAACAAACCAAATCAATACTAATATTTAACAAGGCCTTTCTTCATCAAAAAGAGTTGAATCTGTCTGGCATCCTCGTTGAGCGGAATAGTAATCCAGAGGACACCATGTTTCACCTCAGCCTTGAACTGCTCCACATCGCACATCCCTGGCCTGCCTGACATGAGGCCACGGTAGTCTTCTCCGTCGTCCTCACAGCCGGGTTGGCTTTTGATTTTTCCCTCGAAAACTATTTCTTCACGCTCATTCACCCACACTTTCAGACCCTCTGGGGTTAGACCTGGAAGATCATACCTCGTCACTAAAAAGCCCTCACCCAACACTCTCCGCCAGAATGCCTTTCTCGGCTCACCATTCGCATCATTAGCCACTCCTATATATATATATATATATCAATTAATCAACACAAGACTCAATCACATGATTCATATGTATGTATGAATATAGATATAGAAAAACTTGACTCAGAAAAAGAAGACGAGTACCGAAGGGGTTTTTGGTAAGGTCATCCAAGTTGAGATAGTGGAGGGTACGGAAATACCGTGCGGCGGAGGGAGAAAAACCAGTGAGGCGGTGCTGCTGGTGGAGGCGGCGGAGGGACATGGCAAACAGCCTTGACGCGGAGGTGAGAGATCTTGAAGACGCCATTGTTGGATCTTCTGCGATATTCACTGTGTGACTCTGTGTGAGAGGTTTTGAGGGAAAGGTAATAAGGAGAGAGACTCAAAGACGGGATGCCCGGACTTCAAAATGGTTTTCAATTAAGTTTTGGAATCATAGGTACGTGGTATTGTTATATACTTGGGAGTGTACAGAAACTGTGTGAAACCTTAATAGGGTTAAATTGCTTTCTTTCGTGTAATTTACTTGCGGCTTTTTGGGTTACTTCATGTTAATTAGTAACCTTTAATTGGGGGTATTTTAAGTGGGAGTCAGCGATTATATGTTTTGGGCCTTTTGGCAGTGAAATTATATTCAGAGTGTATGCTTAAATACCTAATTAATTTAAGTAAATTATTCCCACCGTCCTTAATTAGTAGTTCATTTTTCTTTTTTTACATGTTTCAAATTAGTTGTCCTCTTTAAAAAGTCAAAGTATCTTTTTATTATATTTCTATCATTTTTTTTTATCTTTTTAAAAAATTTCAAACTTTGTAACTATATATATTGTCAATTTGATAATTTTAAAAGGAGACAATGCATTAATTACATGTCCCGCTAATACTTTCTAAACATGGACTTCTATATAGTTTTTTATATTATTGAGCACAAACCCACCCTAGTCGCTTTGGGCTTCAATTGTTGTGCCGAAAGTGAAAACATTTGTTCGTGATGTGTGTTAGGGATGTGAGGGAGAAGCTCAAGCACACCTTAGTCTCTTGCCCATTTGATTTGTAGATGCGCAAGGGCTGCTCTATGAAAACTTTCTTCTTTTCGATTAGAGAGGTTCTAATTAAGTCGATTAAGAATCCAAGTTCTTCTTCCTCAAATATCTCTACAGTCGTGGAAGATACTCAGTTATGGAGCAATTATCATCAATTCGGTTTTCTGTTTGTCCCAAGAGCAGGAAAGTGTTGCTCATGAACTGGGCTCAATGGCTTTACGTTGCAGAACTCATAATATGTCTATGGAGAAGTTCTCCAAATAGGTTTATTTCTGTTGTCCATAAGGATGTTCGGAAGAACAGTTTTCTATTCAAACTCTACAAAAAAAACTCTTCTTGATTCAGTTTCTTGAAAAAAGTCTTCCTACTTAAATAACTATTTTCAGAGTTACAAATTAAACAAACCCTAATATTCTATATTTTCTTGCCTTCGTAAAAAATAATAAAAATAATTAATAATTAATTAAATTGGAATAGAAAGTCATGGATTCTTACTAGAAGTTTAAAAGACACAAGCTTTTTTATAGAAAAAAATGTAAGTAGTATTTTGTATATGCCAAAGCATCATCGGTCTCTCTATACGTGGATCATTACATTATATCGGTCAATGAGAGAAAAAATAAAAACACTGACCAACACAAAGTCCATATTCATCAAATATTTTGTGATCTCTCCCATTCACTCCCTTCAAAACTCATGCTTTATCTTGTTATTGGGGTCGCGTAGAAACATATCAGTGAGAACTGGACGGATGGCGTCGATGTCGAAGGAAAGCTGCCAATATAAAACAAGAACAAAAAAACAGTAATTACAATCATATAGTAATACATATATATATACACACACTCAAAATTCACAGATTTACTTATAACCGTGCTAGCAGATTTTCAGAAATAAAAAAATGTATGAATTTTCTCTTTGTAATGGAGATAAGGTGTATCTTCTCCATTAACCCCGAAACGAATAATAGGGTAAAAATGTCACTTATCAATGTGTTAATTATTAATTAAGCACGAACAGTTATTAATGGGTGCATTAAAAATTACACAGGAAAAAGAAAATTAATAATAATAATATTAAATCAAGAGCACCATCAAATTAACCTTTCTGATTGCAAGATCAGTTTAAACATTTATGCATTCAATATAGTGTATATATATATATATATGAACCAATTAAATCAAAGAATGAATGGATCAAACCTCCTTTTTCACCAACAAATCGCGTTGCCACTTGAAGGCCCTCCTGGCATCTTCAGTGAGTGGAAGAGTAATCCAGAGGACACCATCTATCATCTCCGTCTCCAACTGGTCCATTTTGCAGAGCAATGGACAGCCTGGGATTCTGCCATTGTAGACGCTTCCCCCATACCCATACTTGGCTTCACTCTTGCACTTACCCTCCAACACTATGTCTTTCTTCTCGTCCACCATAATTTTCAGATCATCTGAGGTCACACCGGGCAGGTTAAGCCTGATCAGGTAGAACCTGTCATGCACCAGTTTCTTCTCAAATGCTTTGCTACACCCTTTCCGATCACCCACTCCTATATATACAACAATTACCACAATCAATCATATATATATATATATATATACACTAATCCAACACAAATCATATATACATATTTGGAGAGAGAAATTATATGATAAGAGCATTATGCAACCTATGAGAATAAAGCCCTGATTGGAGCTCAAGTTGAAACAAGTAAGAGAATTAACAAATTCAACACAAATCATACAGATTCGAAGAGAAATCATATGAGAATATTTATGCTACCTTCGAGATCAATAGAGCCGAGGTCGGCGTCGGACTCCGAATCGACGATTTTCCGAACAGGGACGGTGCAAAGTGAGCGAGCGGCGAAGGGAGTGACCGTCGGAGGTGAGCGGAGGAGCTTCGTGAGGCCAATGGTGGTGGGGAGAGAGTCGGATTTCGCTCTTCCGACGGTGTGAAATGAACGAGCGGCGAAACGAGTGACGGACATCTGAGGAGAGAGACGTGAGCGGAGGGGATTCGTGGGATCAACGGCGGCGGTGAGACCGGAGTTGGCTTCTGAACCGGCGCTTGTCGGAAGAGCGACGCTGAAAAGTGAACGGGTAGGTAAGGGACTGGCCGTCTGAGGTGAGAGCTGTGAGGGGAGGATTTTCATGAGAGCAGTGGCGGTGTTGAGAGATCGTGAGGAGGCCATTGATATTTACTGTGTGACTGTGTGTGAGAGAGACGAGTAAAAGGGGTTTCTATAGGGGTAGTGGGATGGATGCAGATGATGGACACGTGTCACTGTACTGTTGGAAAGTATGTTGCCAGCTGGCTAAAAGAAAATATTTGATGTATAGTATTCAAACCAGACCTCTCTTCTTAGCGGTTGGATTTTTTTCTTGATTGATGAAAATATGGGAAAATGCTGGTTTAAATTGAAAAGGGCATGACTTTTTGAAGGTAGATGGGTTGTACTGTGAATCGTTTATTTTGAATTCACAAAGTTTAAAAAATATATATATTTGCAAATAATTTTAAAATATTAAGTGATGATTTGATTTGCATATATACTATATTTATAAATAAAAATTCTGAATAAAAAATTAAAAATATAAGGAAACTAAGAAAATTGTTCAAAATCAATCTTTCTCTAACAATTATGTAAAAATAGAATAAGAAATCTAATTGCTAAAAACTACTAAAAAAAAAAGAATTCAAACTTCCTCTTATCAACTATGTAAAAATAGGGTAAAAACCTAACTGTCAAAATTACTAAATACGTCAACTAATTTGAATTAGTTTAGGCTTGTAACAAATATTCTGACATATTCAAAAATGAAAAATCACAATTTTCAAGTCCTAAACAATTGAATTCGATTGAAAATTTTCAAACCCTAAGCAATTGAATTCGATTGAAAGGCTTCCGACCCCATAAACGAAGCCAAATCAGTTTTCGATCCCGTTTGACCTTTTGACGGTCCAAACAAATTCCAAAATTATCAACAAATGTGTCCTACATCACTTACTAAGCTTAATTATCAAAATTTGGCTAAGAAAATGAAACATCTTTATTTGAAAATACCAAATCAATGTATAAAGTTTCAAAATTTAAAGAATATTAGATGTATTGTTTTAATATTGATAAGATATCTTACGATTGTACAAACAAACAAACTGCAAACTTTATTTTCCAGCCCTAATGCGATCCATTTCTTTTTATTTCATCCATTTAGGGATCTAAATTTGGACTTCTATAAACTCACCAAAGACTAATATAAGATAACTAATATATATATATTTTTTTCTAATATAAACCATAAACATTACTTTGTAAATATTAATTAAACTAATTGTCATTACTTGAAACCAATAGACTTAAAGAGTGGTAGTTTTCAACCTTCCAAATAGGTAATGGGAAAGGGCAAAAGTGATATCTTATTAACACATAGGAGGAGGATCGAGATTGTCTCCCATAAAAATGGTTTCTATCACCCACTCTACACAGACCCAAAGGCTGACTCTCTTCAGGCTAATCTTTTTGCAGGTAAGGTGAGTTGACCAAATTATGACATACTGATGTGGCTAACAAAAAATTATACATAGCACGAATCCAACATGTGTAACAACCTTAAGTCCTATAAAACGAGAGTCGGAGCCGGAGCAAATTCAAGAGCGAGAATGTGAGAACCACCAAATTAAGTCATAAGCTGTGAGAATTTGAGCGAGAGCGCGTGAAGCTTGAAAGCGGGAGCGCGTTCTGAGAACAACACCTATTAAAAAGAATTGTGTAACTTAAATAGCAACATAGCACCAAATGTGTGACACAAATTTTACATAACTAACAAAAATGAGTACAACACAAGTTTTTCAGAGTCGATGGAGTAAAGAGACTAGAACATAACACACAGCCCATATCACCAAACGTGTGTAACAACAATTGATGGATCGACTCTGGAATGCAAAAAGAACAATATCCAATTCACACGAAAAAATCTTCAAACTAATGGAACTCAAACTGGATAGGAGCATTTCTACAAACACCTAATGTGCAATGAACCCTAATATTTAACAAGCCCTTTCTTCATCAAATCGAGTTGAACCTTTCTGACGGCCTTGGCTTCTTCGGTGAGTGGGAGACTAACCCAGAGGACTCCGTGAGTCAACTCGAACTTGAACTTCTCCACATGGCACAACAATGGGATGACTGGAATGACGCCATGGTAAGAGCCTCCCTCGTAGTCATACTTTGGCTCGCTCTTTATCTTCCCCTCGAACGCTATATTTCTCTCCTCGTCCACCCACAGTTTCAGGCCTTCTGAGACCATACCGGGCAGGTCAACCTTCAACACTACCAAGCTCTCACCACATATTTTAATCAAATATACCTTTCTGGGCCATCTCGGCCCACCAATATATTCATCAGCCACTCCTATCATCAATTAATCAACACACTAGTACTCAATCAAATGATTGATTCATATATATGTATGAATATAGAGATAGATACAGACCGTGCAGGAAACACTAGTATAAAAGAAGAAGATGAGTACCGAAGGGGTTTTTGGTATACGCATCCATGGAGGGGCAATGCCTGGTACTGTACAGGCGGTGTTGCTGGTGGAGGCGGCGGAAGGACGTCGAGAACAACTTCGACACCATGGTGAGAGGTCTTGCAGACGCCATTGATAGGTGGAGCATTTCTAGTCTCTGGAGTCTGGATGGATGGAAATCACTGTTGTGAGATTGTAAAGCGGGTTTTCTATTCTTTATTGGGGCTAGGAGGAGACGTCCGTCACTTGACTACAGTCAGAGCATTTACTAACCGGCAAAAGAAAAATACTTTGTCTCCTACCCCCATTTACATAATCTTTCTCGATAGATATTGTTTTAATATTTTGAAGGAACTTTCATTTTCATGCTTCGGTATCTTACTTACATTTTTATTATATATGATATAATTTTTCTATTCTCACACTCTCAGTTTATGTAACTTCATTCGCACTAGTAGCCGTTGGATGTTTTTACTCATGGATAAATTTGTAAAGATTAGGTGATCAAGAAAAATTAGTAAATGGTCCGATGCCACAGCGTCATTTGTTATCCCAATTAGGTGACACCTAATAATCCTTTCGTTTTATAATAAGTGTTATATATTGGGAAACGAGTCACTGTTCAATACATGACACTCGTTATTAAATGGAGGGAATAATATACTAATATACTACTAGCATCAATTTGTATCATATGCCAAAATCTAGTTAATTTCTGTGTCAGATTGTATACTGTGTGTTTGTGTGAAATTTGGGGAGGTTTTTTTTTTTTTTTTTTGAAAATTTAAGCAATTGATATAAATATTAAAATAATTACACAGGTGGGCCATTTGGCCCAAACAGCCCGAAAGGGATACAACCCAAAGAGGGAAATAAAGTCCAAAAGCGGCCCAAAGTAGAGGAAAGCCCAGTCATGAAAACAGAAATTTGGGGAGGTTGAAACCAAAGAAAAGAAAGACTGGCCACGGTGGATGAGGCCCTGAGGGTAATTAGAGCATGTCTAAAAACATGCGCCTTGTGCGGAGGATTAATTGCCCCGTAAAAGTTAGGTACATATAAATGAACAGATAAAACTAGTTCACATATTTGCCCCCTTGTAAACTTTTTGTTATACGGTTTTCACATATTAATTTTCATAAATTAATCACAGTCAAAACTAGTTCAATAAATTTGTTAAAATTATTATTGTTGTATGCATAAAAAATGCCAAAACATAATTTAATACGCACATTCAAATCTATGTATGCATATATGATATTGGTAATGTCCGGTATGAATGAACTAGTAGCTCAAGGATTATAATTAATCTGTATTATAAATTACATAATTAAAAATGAATAATCATAAAATAGAAATTTTTTTGCTATGTATCTCAATATAAAAAGCAGATTGCTATATAGTGCATTGTATATATTTATCCTCTATTTTTCATATATACTCAATCTCATTCAGGGTTCAAATCTTCAAATGAACAAAGTGGGTGAATAATTGACGTAGTGTGTCTGAGTTTTTTGTCAATAATAATAAAATAAATAAACTAAAAAAAAAAAAAACCATCCAGATGTGGTACAAGACCATCCAACATCTCACAAAAATTCTCTCTTACGGTTAAATAAACAAAATTTCATTAAATTGGATTAAGCTTTTCACTCTTTCAGTTTAATAAAAACAAAGACAAAAAAAAAAAAAATCATTAAATTAGAATGAGCGTCAATCTCTCGGTTAGATAAAATAAAAAATTTCATTAAATTGAAACAAGAGTGTAAAAAGGGTAAATTGATAATTTGGCACTACGCATATATATATATATATATATATATATATATATAATCGGAATTTCGCACCACATACGAGTGCAATTCCTTAGCATTTTTCAATTGTCTTTTGCTGTTGTCGTGTGGTGGGGAATGTTTAATACACCTCTTTTCGGCGGCAAAATCTCGGATATCCGTACGGACGCAGCATTAACTTTGGACTCTTTATTACGTGCGTGTACATGTGTATATATATATACACACACACACATGTATATCCAAAAGAACAATATAATCGTTGATGTAGAAATATGGCATTGACGTTTTTGGATATTACCTCGTACAAGTCCTCAATTATGATGTGACATACATGCACCTTAGAAGTTACAGAAAACTGTGTGCAACCTTATTTTGTTTTTTAGGTTACTTTTCTTGGAAAATTGTGTCCTGATCAGTCTTTTATTAACTTGGGTAATACCAGTGGAATCATCCATGATGCAGTGAAATATATGCACGTTTTTACCCCGCACAATTTATAGATTTTTTACCTACAATAAATAGTTTTTAAGTTTCGAAAATTTTATATTTTACCTAACTAAAGATTACAAGTTGAAGTTATTTATATATAATAGTTGGATTATTGACGTACCCATAGGACAGTTATATTTATTGCAATGGTAAGAGTAATAAGATTACTTTATTGTCATCTAAACAAGTAAAAAAATGTTACTCTTAACGAAATTAAAATCGTGTACATCTAACTTTATACAGTTATTGTATTACACTTTTAATACCAATTTAAGAAATACGAAACTACTAATGCATTTTACAATCCTTAAAATGAATAGTGAAAGCTATAAAGTCGAAAGATGACCCAAATTTAGACATCTATAAACTCACACCATACAAGAAGACTAGTGTACGATATCTACCTAAATATATATATATATATATTCATTATGTAAACCTTCCACATTCCTTCTATTAATTCTCGCAATGCACAAATGTTGGAACAATTCAAAATGAAATGGAACTTAACAGTTTACACTTCTCTCACCCATGAAATTGGTCTATGCTTTGGAACTGTATTAAGATTTAAAAGCATTAACCTATTTCGAGCATAGCCCGTGCCTTGACATACTAGCACGGATTTCAGCAAACAGAAATCGAAAGGAAACAAATTAAATCAGAGGATAAATTCATAGAAATCGAAAAGGATCCAATTGTTTTTATGACCATGTAAATTATATGAAATTTTTGGGCACTCTATAATTGTAGTAGTACCCTAATCTAATAAACACTTATGCTAAAAATAAAAAAAAAATAAAAAAAAAATACACTTTGTCATTTTCTCTATTAATAAGAAAGGAAAATAGTGGCCCATTTTTAAATGAGATACTACATTATTGAATACCTAGTAATTTTTCCTAATCTCATGGATATTACCTATACTCGATCTATGTTCACTCCCAACTTCATCTTTAGGTCAGACTCTATATCAGAGTTTGATTCCAATTCAGGGAGATTTTTTAATTTTTTTTATTCATTATTTATTTATTTTTTTGTGACTGATGAGTTTGTGAAAATGGAGATTTCAATTGAAAAGAAAATACGAGTAGTTTATGAAAGTAGATGACGACAAAAGTTGAATTATGAAAATTTTGGTAGGAGATTACTAAAATACATTTAATTTGATAATAACAAGTCAATTTATAAAGTTTCTAAATTTAAGGAATATTAAATGAAAACTTTGTATTGAATATTGATAGTATATATAACAATTGAACAAACAAAATGTTATATTGTTAATTTCAATCCCTAATAAGGTTAACTTCTTGTAAAAAAGTAGCAATAAATTTTTTTGTCCAATCTAAATTTGCCTATTATAAACTCACCATATATACAAGAAGACTAATATAAGATATCCAAGTAAATACCATATAAACCTTTCACATTACTTTGTAAATTATTAATTCAACCAATTATCATTACTTGAAATAAATTGGCTAAAGAATTTACTAAAGATTTAAAAATTCAATATAAGAAATCTTTATGCAGGTAAATTTTTTTTTTTTTTTTTTTGGGGAAGGTTTTTTTTTTGCAGGTAAGCTGGGTTGAAACAACGTTCAAGTTCAAAATTCTAAAGCTTACCAATTTTGTCTTTTTGAATGGTTATCCATTTTTGTGAAATTTTTTATTTTGATATTATGTTATAATTAGTCAAATTGACATCAAATTTGAAGAAATTTGAAATTTATTTATTTTTGCTGCTGTCAGAGCAATTATTCAAATCTGCTGCTTTTGAGTGTACAATATGACAACCAGTGTACATTGCTTTGACCAGACCATGACTCTATGCTTATCCTATTTTATTAATTTTTGTTAATCAAGTGTCCAAAAATGTGTGACACAAAATTTTCATAACTAAAGTTTTTTTTTTTTTTTTTTAGAGTTAATTGAATAAAGAGACTTGACATAGCACATGGCACCAAACGTGTGTAAACAATTGATGGATCGACTCTGTTGGGGTTCTCTGACTCTTCAAACTAATGGAACTCGACAGGAGCATTTCTACAAACACCTAATGTGCAATGAACCCCAAATCAAAAGATTGGGACTTAAATAGAGAGACTTGACATAACACATAGTAAAACTCTTGATAGGAGCATTTCTACAAACACCTAATGTGCAATGAACCCTAAATCAAAAGGACATGGCTGAACTAAAATAAAAACCCCCAAATGAAATTAATACTAATATTTAACGAGGCCTTTCTTCATCAAATCAAGTTGAACCTTTCTGACGGCCTTGCCGTCTTCGTTGAGAGGGAGACTAACCCAGAGAGCTCCGTGAGTCAACTCGAACTTGAAATTCTCCACCTCGCAGAACCCGGACATCGTTGAGACGACTGGAATGACGCCATGGTAGGAGCCTCCCTCATACTCATATTTGGGCTCGCTGTTTATCTTCCCCTCGAATGCTATATCTCTCTTCTCATCCACCCACAGTTTCAGACCCTCTGAGATCAGACCTGGCATGTCAACCCTCATCTTTACAAAGCTGTCACCCCATATTCTTCGCCAAAGTACCTTTCTCGGCCATCTCGTTCCATTAATATCTTCTTCAGCCAAACCTATATATATATACGTATAGATCAATTAATCAGCACAGTACTAGTAAAGGAAACAGTAGCATAGAAGAAGATGAGTACCGAAGGCGTTTTTGGTATACGAATCCATGGAGGGACAATGCCTGGTACTGTACAGGCGGTGCTGCTGGTGGAGGCGGCGGAGGGACATCGAGAACACCTTTGACGCCATGGTGATAGGTCTTGCAGACGCCATTGATGGATGGAGCTTTTCCAGTGTCTCTGGAGTCTGGAGTCTGGATATTGTGCGACTGCGTGTGAGAGACTGTGTGACTGTGTGTGAGACACTGCGTGTGAGTACAGAGGTCTCTCTGTATATCTTAGTCGATCAATTCTAACAGCTCGCGAGAGGAAGAGACTTGGTGTATCGCGAGAGTATTAAACCAGACCTTTCCTAGCTGTTCGATTCAGTTTTTGAAATGGTGGACTTCACTCTTATGTTTTGTTTGTTTTTTTTTTTGTTCCTGAGACTTCAGTACACCATAAGTTTAATTATCAATTTTTTTTAGGATTTTAATGAAAGACATTTTGTTTTAAAATATCAAGTCCATATATAAAGAAAGTTTCCAAGTTTAAAGAGAATAATACATGAAAATATTACACATTTAGAATATTTTAAGTTGTTTTTTTATCAATGTAAATTGGATCATATTTTTGCTATCTTTAAGATGAATAGTGGGCGGATACAAACTCAAATAAGATGATCTAAATTATAACTCAAATAAACTCATTATGTAAGTGATGGGTTGTTAATGTATCGGGTTGCTCCCAATTTATATGAGTTTGTATTTAAGTTATTTTTTCCTCTCTTCTAACTACTGACCCTTAATATTCTTATCATGATAAAAATAAAAAAAAAAAAAAAAATCACAATATACAAAAAGACTAGTATAAGATATTTAACCAAGAAAAATATTAGAGATTTGAAATTTTCAACTAAGTATAATTTTCAATAACAGTTTACTAAATAAAATCATGAAAAATGAAAAAGACAAAAGATGAAGTGCTATGGTACAAAAATGGAGTTTAAATAGAAAGTTAATTTCGGCACTCCACAATAATATTCTCGCGCTTCACTTTCGGTCTCTCTCTAAATGAATTTGTAAATTAACACTTACACCGCACAAGGTTGATTATTATTATTTTTAATATCATAATTGCCCTTTCATATTAAGGTGAGACTTTTCCTATTCTTTTTAACTTTTTTTTCAATTCATTCACATTTTTATCTCACTCATTTTTTATCCTTTCTCAGGACTGTCTTATAAATATATCACATAAGAGCATTTCCAACGGTTATGTATATATATATATTTTTTGTAAATCTATTGTGTTAGAGTAGATTTACAAAAAAAAAAAAAAAAAAAAAAAAAAAAAATTCTTAAATACTGGTTGTCAAGTTCATTGTTGTCTTAACATGTTTAATAACTTCTTCTAACTCAAACACTGTATCATTAGTGAGATCTTTCGAGAGAGGATTGCCCCCCGCAGGGGCCCGAGGGGGGGGGGTGGGGTGTTGAGTTGAAGAAATTTACGTGCAAGAATTCTAACTTTTGGCGCCAAGAGTCTAACCTTAAAGGAAAGGGCAATTATGAAATTTAAATTATAAAAATAAATCCGGTGTGATCCGAGGGTTACATTGTAATTTCAATTTAGGGGAAAGAGAAAGTAGAGAGCCTTAAGATCATAATGGAATGCCAATATTTTTCTTTAAATATTGCCCATATTACTTAATAACTAAAGAATACTAAAAAGACGACTTCTCGAATTTGCAACACCTTCGTTATGGTCAAGCCACCCTACCTATCCTGGGTGGTCACCAGACCTCTTCCGGGCAGGGTGCTTGACTTGACACCGGATCAAGAATTGGGTCTGATTTTGATACTTACTGTAACGGGTGGACGCCTGCTCATTTATCTAGAAGTTCAAGCTGTTGTGTAGTACTGCATACCTACTCATTTATACCCAAATACTTTTTTATCCTAATTCGACATGAGACAAATCTCCCTTTATAACACTGAGCCCCACAATTCCTTATACTAACCAATGCGGAAGCAATTGTTCAGATAAGAAGTTGTACTTACTACTTATGTGACTTGTGCGTATGATACATCAGTTCATCTATGCTCTGCTCGGATGTAGAACATAGAACCACATGTGAGACACAAATTTTATATATCCAAGGAAAATAGTAAATAAACCGAATTTTCGAGTAAATTAAATAAACAAACTTGAATTAGCAAATAGATTACGTTTTTATCTATGCAATTTCTTTATCGAATTACTCGTATTTAGTTATAGAACCTTTTCAACACGGCCCAAATTATGGTATAATGAAAAATTAGAAATACATCCAACGGCTAGGAGGTTCAGCAGCTTAATACTGGTGCGATACATCAGAGGAATTACCTGCCAGCTAGTAATAGAAAAGCAGAAATGCTCTAACCGTGGTCACGTGACACACGTCTCCATCCCGGCCTATATAGAATAGAAACCACAGTACTCCACCTTCAGTGTCAGTCGCAATCTCTCTTTCTCACACACACAAGCACACAGTGAATATCCAGAAACCCTAGAAAAGCTCCATCAATGGCGTCCTCAACAACCCTTCTGACCACCCACTTCATCAAACCCTTCCCCTTGGCGACTTCGCTCGCTTGCTTACCCATTCCGAGTGAGGAAGGGTCCTCCCTCATCTTATGAAGGAGAGAGACGACTCCATTCTGGCAAAGTTGGATTTGCCTGGAATCTCCAGTAAGGATCTGAGGGTTTGGGTGGAAAACCACTGTATCACGATCAAGGCAGAAGAAGAAGAAGATGAGGATGAAGCTTTTTCTGATGATGAGGAAGATGACCACAAATACAAAGGTCTGAGGAAATACTCTGGGTACATCCCTCTTCCTGAAGGGCAATATGAGGAAGACGAGATTGAGGCCAAGGTGAGTAACGGTGATCTCAAGCTGGTCATTCCCAAATGGACAGACATCATCACCATTAAAGTCAGCAACTGAGCTTCTATGGCTTCCATCGAAGCTCATCATCGACGGTGATGAGTGTAGTTAATTATTTAGTTACTGTTCTATTATGTTCATCTCCTTTGCTTCTTTTTAGGTTTGTTCTTTGACTGGACTGATCTCTTCTGGCTTTTGAAGCTTAATTTGGAAATTGTTGATGCTCTGAGTAGTTGATGGACCTTTTGATTTAGGACCTTAACTTGTTTTTGGTGGTAATTAATTATAGATTTGGCACATGTAATGAATTCCAAGTGAAGTTTCTATTAATTCCTTTAGCTGCTTTAATTTTTCTGTTGTTTTATGTTTGTGTGTGCGTGTGTTTGTGTGTGAAATTTAGAGAGTTAATTGAAACGATACGCACTGGTGATGGCAGTGATAGGGCGGTGATGACTAACATACGCCTTGTGCGGAGGATTTGTTGACCACTAAAGTTTGATTTGATACAAGGGAAATACAGGAGTTTCTCAAAATAGGGATTATACGGTTTTCACGTATTAAATTGAATAAATTAATCGTAGGCAAAACTAGTTCAATAAATTTGCTAAAACTAATCACAGACAATTAGTTCACTAAATTTGCTAAAATTAATGTTGTTGGTTGTGTGAGAATTTCAAACTTAATTTAATACGGACAATTCAAATCTAAATATATATGCATGAGATAGGTTACTAGTATGAATGAACTGGCTTAGGATTATAATTAATCTGTGTTATGGACCACATAATTAAAAATAAGTAAATATAAAATAGAAATTTTTTTTGCTATATATCTCAATGGAAAAAGCAGATTGCCTGTATCCTATTAATGCACTTCTGTTTGTAATTGACAGATCCAAGTGAAACCTATTGACACGATCAGGGTAGCTTCATTCAAATAAATATTAATGATCATGCATCTTAACGTTGGTTTGAGCGTGAAATAGATAGAAAAGAAATGAAACAGAAAAGAAAATTAATTTTTGAAAATTTGGTTACCAAGGAAAAAATTTTGGGAAAGTGAGATTCCAAACTTTCTCAAAATATTTTCTGCATAAAACACAAGAAAGTTTACTTTCTCGCACAAAACTGTTATTTTATTTTCAAATTTCCTATTATGCCCAGTTTTTTCTCCATTTTTTTTTTTTTTTTTTTTTTTTTTTTTTTTTTTTCACATACTAGCGTAGTTATTAAATTCAGACTTAGAAAATATTCCAAAAACTATCACATATTGTGACACATAATTTGATTATATCCAATAGGTTGTTACTTAAAATTTTTGGAAATAAATTTAGAGTTGAATGATAGAATATTAAATAATATAATTTTTAATTTTTATCAATATCTCAATAGAAATATGAGAAGGGATTAATTTGAATTATCATATTATTTATATGACATAACAATTTCACATGAATGAAAATCAATATAATATATATATTTTTTGTTATTTATACAGCTTTGAACTGAATAGAGTTTTATACTGTGTGATTTTTGCAAAGAAAAATTTGCATCGAAGCGGTTTATATTTATAAAAAATATGAAAGGGGACTGATAAATTATGCATGAACCATAAAATTATTATACATGAATTATAAAATGTTACTTTTGCATGACAATTTTTATCCTAGAGTTGCCATTTAATGTTTCCTTGAGGGGGCTTAAAAAATGATATATTTAATAATTCAATAAAATATGAGTATGTTATCATCAATGAACTATATTCTACATATAAATATAAATAATTATTATTGAAAACACAAAATAAAAAAATCTGGCAACTAAAATACAGTTCTCCTTAGTTTTTCTAATTTAAATATGAATATAAATAATAATAATTATTATTATTAATAATCCATTATTTTATAATATGATAAATGAATTATATTCTACATATAAATATAAATAATTATTATTGAAAACAAAAAATAAAAAGAATCTGACAACTAAAATGCAGTCCTCCTTAGTTTGTCTAATTTAAATAATAATAATAATTATTATTATTATTATTATTTTACTATTTAATTGCTAAAAATTAATATAAATTATTGGGTATAAAGATGATTCATCCAACACAAAATTAATTTATTTTTAATATTTGAAATCATGAGGGTAGTTTTGGTAAGTAAATCATTTTCTTTTCACTTTCATGCTATCTAAACTAATAAAATAATATTTTTCCCTAACTTTCTTGAAAATTTTTCTTACTAACCAAATGCATGCAGGAAATTTGATTTTCCTTTTATTCACTTCACTTTCTTTCACTTTCACTTTCCATCATAAATTTCTGTCTAACCAAACAGATCCTAAGTGAATTAAGAAGTTACATTCCCAATTTAAAATGTCACAACTCTACTTACTTGGCTTTGACTCAGACATCTTTTGGGTGGGCACGTAACACGAATGATCGAATCAATGACGAAGTAACTTAAAACAAAATTAAGGATCGTTTTTGACTCTAGTATCAATTATAACGACTTGGATAATTCGCCATCTAATCCAAAATAAAATATTAAGATATTGTGTAATGCTAACAGTGAACATTTTTTCGTTCAAATCTGATGCAAAACAACCCTAACATCTGGTGAGATCAAATGTAATGTGGATGCCTCATTCTCTTCGGATTCCTTTCAGGGCGGTGGTGAAGCTGTGTTTCGTGATGAACATGGGTCCATTCTGTATGCAGTTTGTGTTTTGTTATTTCAAAGCTTAGAATGCTTCTTTGGCTGAAGCTGTGTGCCTTCGTAAAGCTCTGCTGTGGGCTCATCATTTTTCGTTTCATCGATGTTGGTTTGAGACAGACTCCTTGATTGTTTGTAAGGCTGTTTTGGATGTTGATATTTGTTCAGTGAAAATGGCGGCTGTTGTTCATGATATTCAGTGTGTTCTTCAAAGAGTTCCCTCGTTTCGGCTTAGCCATGTATGTTGACATGGTAACGAGGTGGCTCATATGATTGCTAAACTCTCTCGAAGTCATCTTAATAAGGACATTCTTCATTCCATTGGATATACTCCATCGTGCTCAGCTTAATTTACAGTGATTTTAGAGACTTTTGGTGTTTGTATTGTTTGCCAGGAAAAGAAAAAAAAAAAAAAAAAAAAAAAAAAAAAAATCCCCTAACATCTAGCCCATTTTTACTTCATTTCAAACAAAAAAAAAAATACTCTCATGGTTAAACAAAACAAAATTTCACTGAATTGGATTAAGCCTCTCACTCTTTCCGTCACTCAAATAAAACAAAATTTCAATAAATTGGATTACGCTTCTCTCTCGCTTGAATAAATGCAATACATATATATGTATTCATTAAATTGGAATAAGCGTGCAAAAGGGTAAATTGGCGATTTGGCACTATCCATTCGTTTAGCATTTTCAACGGTCTATTCCTGCAGGACAGAGTACCGATCAGTTCCGTGAAACGTTTTATCCACTGGCACCTCTTTTCGGAGGCAAGATCTCTGATATCTGTACGGACGCAGCACCAATTTTGGACTCTTTAGTCTTGAGTATGTATACAATTTTGGACAAAATCTCTGATATCTGTCACGTGACCACATACATGGACCTTACTACACAAAATTGTGTACCACCTTATTATATATATATATTTCTCAATTAACCTTATCATATTTGAAATGATTTTTTTCTGGTCAAGTTTGCTTGTTTATTCAAATAATTAGAAATGTATCTCTGTTTCCTCTACTTTGTGAATGCGAGGCCCAATTTTTAAAATACTCAATTATTTTAAAATAAAGAGAATAATTAAGAGTAGTTAGAGACTATTTTGGTTTAGCCTAGATTACTAATTTTAAAAAATTGTTTTTGATCTTTAGCCTTTATCTACCTTAGTACATTTCACTAAATCCTCGGACGATGCAGTGAAATATATAAATTAAAATTTCTTTATTATATTTAGTACATTTTTTCTCGAATAATTTAATACATTCTTTATCAATAATAAATAGTTATTGTGCTTCTAAAATTTGATAGAGTAATGATAGGGGAATCGGAAAGAATCATTGAATTAGTATCGAATTTGACGTGGTTGGTCATTCTAAAATTTTATAGAGTAATGACAGGAGAACCGATAAATATCACCGAATTAGTATCGAATTTGACGTGACTAGTCATTCGTGTTAAACAATTATTTTTAAAAATTATTTAAATAAATAAAGTGAATAAAAACACGTCAAATTAATTCATCGGTCCTATCATTATTCAATTTTATATTTAAGTTCGTATTACCTAACTAAATAATATAAGACAAGTCCATATTTGGATTCCACAACCCCATAAATGACAGTTACATTAAATATTGTAAAAGTAACTCTACTTCGATAACAGAGAGTGCAATGGTAAGAATAGTTAAATTTACTACTTTCTCCATTGTACATTTCTCTAATCACAATGACTCTATATAGTAACAACAATTCTTTTAGGTAATGTTTCATTTGAGCGAATATTGATCCCATAACATTATTTTAAATTATACATATGTTAATATATTATATATGATGATTTTGAGCAATTTTATGATTTTACCATTAATATATTTTATTGTCAATTGCATATTTCTTTTTTAAATAGGGTGATAAAGTTAAATATTCTTCTTTATTTTCTATCAAATGGACAACTAACCACTAGTGGGTAAGATGTAATTCTATTTATAGATGTGGGAGCTTATGTACCACAAAAACAATAATACGAGGAATTAAGTGCAACTAAGCCTTAATTAATAATTAAAATAGAGTAAAGAACAGTAAAATAAATTATGCCAATTCTCCAAAATAGGGCATTACTAGGAATTGGAGCTCCAAGTAGCTCAAAATTGTGTGGGTTTACTATAAATGTATTAAATACGTAAGAACCTCATTTTTATAATTAAAACACAAAAATGTATTAAGGAACATCGGACTGCATGGTAAAGATAATTTATTAATTTTATATTATTTTTGTGCTACTAATAAAAAATAATTGATATTGATGCAACTTATTCTTTCAACTCTGCATTTGTTATATATATATATAAAGCGTAATGCTATTTTATCCAACTTGAAAGCACCGACAAAATACCGACATAACTACATAGTTACCTTGTCCAATTAAACAAAAATATATTAGTCTGGCATGAACGCCAAATACTGCCCGTCCAAACGGAAAAATTATTGTATGGACTAAGTCCATACACCTCAGCACAGCAGGTTGAGTTGGTGGATTATATCAATTAATTCTAAATATATGTAATAAAAAATTATTTTTATATTTAATTTGCCACGTTAATTTTGCAACACCTCTCTCCCCTTTCAGCGTCCCTAATAGGCTGGAGGCTCCTTCTATCTCTGTTATCGTTCTCACTTTGAACTTGCCCATGCTGGAGAAATTATTGCATGATCCACTAATTCAACCTGCTGAGGTGTAGAATTAATCGGTGTTGTCCACCAACTCAACTTGCTGAGGTGTATGGACTTAATTCCATACAATAATTTCTTTAAAAGGAAAGAGAGAGGTGTTGCAAAGCTGACGTGGCAAATTAAATATAAAAATAATTTTTTTATTATACGTGTCTAGAATTAATTAGTGTAGTGCACCCTCAACCTGTGTATGGACTTGGCCCATACAATAATTTCTCCATGTAAAGACCCCCTCCTTCTGTACTCTCTCACAGCAGAGAAAAGCTTGCGGGTGTTCAACAATGCCAATGGCGTTCAAAACGATGCTCGCTACCCGCTTCATAAAACCCTACCCCTCAAGCCGCTCCTCCACAACTCTGTTTGCTCGATTCGCCTCTTATCGTCATCCACCATCTCTCATCGTTGCTCGGTCGATTACATCTTCAGATTCCGATTCCGATTCCGACGATTCTGAAACCCCAATCCCCAAAGGTAATTAACCAGACATATATATATATATATATATATATATATATATATATATAACTTATTGTAGGTATATAATTTTGAATTTAATTGGGTACAGGTTGTCCATTGATGAACCCATTTCTTGCAAGAGGAAGGGTATTCCCTTATGTGATGAAAGACACAGAGCACTCGTTTGTGGCGAAGGTGGATTTGCCTGGTGTTTCCAAAGAAGATTTGAGGGTTTGGGTTGAAAACCACCATCTCCACATTAAAGCAGAGGAAGAGGAAGATGGTGATAACGAAGAAGCTGTTTCTGATGAAGACATCGACGATGAAGACGACGGTCAGAGGAAGTACATTGGGTCCATTCCAATCCCCAAAGGCGGCTATAAGATGGACCGACTCAAGGCTCAGATGAGGAACGGTGTTCTCAAGCTCGTCATTCCCAAGCTCAAGCTCGAGGAAAGGAAAGACATCACCATCGTCCCAGTCAACAACTGAGAGCTTCAATTGGCTTTCAAGTTAGCTCGATCATCAACATCAATGGTGATACTAGTATATTAGTAGTTTCTCTGTTGTGTTAATGTCTTGTGTTCTGTTTTTATTTTTTATTTTTATTTTTTTGAACTTTTGTAAATTGTGGATGGTCTGAGTAAATTGATGGGGCTTGACTTGTTTTTGGTAGTGATGGGTTAAATATTTGGTATATACTATATATTTGTGTGGAATTTGAGAGTAGATTTGAAACAATGGAGAGGTTGGTTAGGGCAAGAAAGTGTGGTCACTGGTGATAGTCATAGAGATCAATAGACAACAATGATGGCTAAAATGTGCCTATTATGTTGTAGAGGTTCTTTAGGGCAAGAAAGTGTGGTCACTGGTGATAGTCATAGAGATCAATAGACAACAATGATGGCTAAACCAATGCAGATGGGATTCGACTTGATAATGCAGACGGAGTTATTCATGAAATTGTCTCACACTTTCAGAATCTGTTTGGTACAAGCCCTCCAACTATCCACACTCAAGCTGAACTCTCAAGAGTCATCACCAAGGCAGTACCCTCACATTTTCACCAGATATTGGATTTTATCCCATTTCCACATGAGATACAATCTTGCATGTTATCTCTAAATAAGGACAAAGCTCCAGGCCCTGATGACTACAATGCCATGTTCTTCCACCAAGCATGGAGCATTGTAGGTAATTTAACAATTAAGGCCATCTCTGAGTTTTTCAGGAATGGTAAGCTGCTAGGTGAAGCTAACTCTACATACATTTCCCTTGTCCCAAAGTGTCAAAACCCCTCCACCATTAATGATTACAGACCTATCTCATGCTGCAACACCATCTACAAATGTATCTCAAAGCTTTTAGCTAATAAGTTACAACTGGTTCTCCCTCACATCATTGATCACACCCAAACAGCCTTTGTTCAAGGCAGGAAGATTACTGACTCAGTATTACTCACTCATGAGCTATTGAGAGGTTATCACAGAGACATTCCCCCCCCCAAGGTGTGCTATTAAGATTGATCTTAAGAAGGCTTTCGACTCAGTTAAATGGGAGTTTACACTGGACTGTCTTTCCCATCTCAACTTCCCTCCAAGATTCATCAAGCTAATCCAAGCATGCATCACATCCCCATCCTTCACTGTTGCTATTAATGGAGAATTCAAGGGGTTTTTCACAGGGAAAAGAGGCTTAAGACAAGGTGATCCTATTTCCCCATTCCTATTCGTCATTATCATGGATATTTTTACTTCAACTGTTAAGAATATTATCTCCAGAACCCCTAGATTCAGATACCATTGGAGGTGCAAAGAGCTGGGTATCACCCATCTCTCATTTGCAGATGATCTTTTTCTCTTTTGCCATGGTGACATTACATCTGTATCCATCCTAAAATCAGCCTTGGACCACTTCTGCACCATGTCAGGACTCTCCATCAACTTGTCCAAAAGCTCAATATTCCTCTCAGGGGTAGACCCCTCTACTGAAGCAACTATTTCAAACCTACTAGGAATTAATAAAGGTTATCTCCCTATTAGACACTTGGGGGTTCCTCTAATCTCAACTTGTTTAAGGGCAGCTGACTGTAGGCCTCTAATTGAAAGGATCACCCACATGATAACTCATTGGACCTCAAGGTCACTATCCTATGCATGTAGGCTACAATTGATTAAATCTGTCCTAGTCTCCACCCAAGTCTACTGGTCAAGTATATTCATCCTTCCTAAAGGGGTTTTTGATGAGATCAATAGAATACTCATGGCATTCCTTTGGTCTGGCATTGAAATGAAGTCCACAAATGCCAAGATTGCTTGGATGGATATTTGTAAACCTAAGGAGGCAGGAGGTTTGGGTATCCCTAACTTGGTTATTTCAAACCAAGCTGCAATTATTAGATATATATGGGATCTAACAGACAATTCAGATAGAGTTTGGATTAAATGGTGTAAGACTTACCTCATCAAAGGCAAGAACTTGTGGGCTTTAGAAATTCCTCAATCCTGTTCCTGGAGTTGGAGGAAACTCCTTCAACAGAGGCACTATGCAAGAAACTTCATTAAACACCAAGTTGGAAATGGCATGTCTACTTGTTTCTGGTACGATAATTGGCTTCTTGCTGGACCATTGAGCACTCGATTCCCTTCCCAAATCCTCACTGCAGCAGGTCTAGACCTTTCAACCACAGTAAGCCACTTCATTTCTGGTGGAACTTGGAATTTCCCTGCATCAATCTCTTCGGCAATCCCAGAACTCCTTGTACTTGGAGCTCCAAATAATTCAGGGAATGACAAATTGATTTGGGCAGCCTCACCATCTGGAAGTTTCAGCCACAAGCATACTGCAGCTCTCTTATCACCTTCTTCTCCATCGGTTTCATGGTTCAACTTGGTTTGGAGATCTCCAGCAATCCCACGAATGAAATTCATTATGTGGCTAGCTATTCAAGGTCGCCTCCCTACTTTGGATAGAAGATCAATGGCCAGATTTGACAATGTATGTGCTCTGTGTAATGTCAACCCAGAATCTCATTCTCATTTGTTCTTCTCATGCGAGTATACTTCCCCAATTTGGACTTTCTTCAAGGCGAAATGCAAGATTTCTATTACAGCTTTGACATGACCGGAAATTGCTTCAGTCTTCAGCATCCAGTGGTCTTCTCCATCACCATGGAACCTACTTAGAAAGCTCTGCCTCGCGGCTTTGGTATATCACATTTGGGAGGAGAGAAATGCCCGTATCTTCCTTGGATCAAAGCTATCACAGAATTCAATTCGGGCAAGGATTTCCCACACCATCACCTCTATCATGAAATTAGGGATCTTCAGGGATTCCATTGCTGCGCATCACATTCTCAAGGACTAGGATCTTTCACCGTTTTGTTGCCGGCCGCCGCCGCGTCCACCTGATTGAAGACTTGAAGCCATTGAGCTTCAATCGCTGCAAAAGCCAGTCACCGGATTTGTATCAGATCCACCATTAACGGCTAATTAGCCGTTATTTGATGGTCTGTTGTTGATTTCTTTGGGCCTAGGCCTTGTATCTGTTGAGCTTTTGGGCTTTGGTTTCCATCATGTATGGGTTGTTTGGGCCAAAGGCCTCACATGTATAGCTCCTTTAATTATTATATATTAGCTTCATTTTCCGAAAAAAAAAAAACAATGATGGCTAAAATGTGCCTATTATGTTGTATGGACGCAAATCACCTGCTGTGTAATTCCCATATTTCTTACAGTGAGTGATAAGTGGTCTTGATTTGGTCACGTTTTACTCCATTTAATAGGTATCAAAACTATGTTTGGCAATTGCACCACTTTTTGTAAGTAACATTTCACCACCATTTATAAGTACCATTTATAAGTAATATCATAAAAGTCTAAAAGTAATATCACATAATCTAAAAAGTAACATCACCACCATTTATAAGTAACATTACAGAAGTCTAAAATTAATTTTTAGACTATGTGATATTAATTTTAGACTTCTGTGATATTATTTATAAATAGTTATAAATGGTGGTGATGTTACTTTTTAGACTATGTGATATTATTTTTAGACTTCTGTGGTGTTACTTATAAATTGTGGTGAAATGTAAAAATATATATATCTAAATATGTAACACCCAATTCAGCAAATTCAAGTTTTGGCCTAAATTTTAGACACCCAATTGAAAAAATCGATCTAATTGTGCAATTTTAACACTGGACATTATTTTGAGCACTCAACTAAGAAAATTCACCTCCATTTATAAGTAACATCACAGAAATTTAAAAGTAATATCACATAGTCTAAAAAGTAATATCACCACATTTTGAGGGTGAAGATACTTATAACTGGTGGTGATGTTACTTTTTAGATTATGTGATATTATTTTTAGATTTTTGTGATGTTACTTATAAATGATGGTGAAATGTTACTTATAAATAGTAGTGTAATTGCCAAACACATTCTTACTGTCTATTAAGTGGAGTAAAATGTGGTCAAACCAAGACCACTTACTGCTCACTGCAAGAAACAATATGGGAATCGCACAGCAGATGATTTGCGCCGTGTATTGTATATGTGTGTGTGATTTGGAGAGTTTGAAACAAAGAAAATGAAAGGTGGTCACTGGTGATGACGGTGACAGACCAACAATGATTGCTAACATGGGCTTTGTGCTAAGGGTTAATTGCCCTATAAAGTCACCCACATATATATATATATATATATATATATATATATATATATATATATATATAAAACACCATACAAAGTTAAGAACCAAACTTAGAACCACCCAAATACAAAGATTGAAAAAAATAAAAAAAAATAAAAAATAAAACCCAATAGCCTCGTAGGTTAGATTTAGAATATATAATCAAACCTGTGACACAAATTCTATATAATTCACTAAGAAAAAGGATAATTAGACTAAGTTTCAAATAATTTATATAAACAATTCTAAAATAGATGTTATAGGGGCAAAGTACACACATAACCTCTTAGGTTTTTAATTTGTACACGTGGATAAAAGATGGCCAAAATATAACAGAGAGACCCAAATTAAGCCAAAATATAACAGAGACCCAAATTAACTGTGGTTAGTGGATTAATATGAATTTACATTTTTGTTCTTAGAGTTAAACTATTTATTTAATGATAAATTTTAATTTTTTTTTGGTATATTATTAAAGTTACGATTTTGCCCTGGGTTGAGTGAATCAGTCGCGTTTAAGGGCAACGACTTCTTCACGGCCGAGTCAACTAAGCTCTCCACTAGCGTCCTCACTACCTCTCTCACCGGCAAGATCGCCGGATCTGTCTCACCGGTGCACAGCCACAGTTCATCCACAACCACCGGTCAAGCTCGCCATCGCTCTCATCTGAGCCGCTGCTAGTCATCCACGGCCAAACCAGCTCATCGCCCAGATCTGATGCCGGACAACCTCCTCGTCGACGACAAAAGCGATTTGAAGGTTGCGAATTTCTGACTCAGTGATGGGGTGGTGGCTGGTTCATTTGGGGGTGATTGTTGACGGTGGTGGTGACTGGTGGGTTGAAATTGGTTGTAGGGGTGGTTGTGGATGGTGGTGGTGGGTTGAATTTGGTTATAGGTGTGATGGGTATGTGTATAAGAAAGGGGATAAAGCCTAATTTGGGGGTGGTTGGGCTCCTGGCAATTAGGGTTTGGTTGGGTGAGGACAACGATGATGGGATTGTAGGCATCGCCGGGAGAGAGGATGAAGACGCCGCCGCTGTTCTTCCTCCAGACGAGAGAGATGAGTTGAGATGGGCAAAAATGAAACTTTTTAATTTACAGTATTTTTTATTTTTTTCATTAAAAAAAAATATTTTAATTTTAAGATCAGAATTGTAAACTTATATTATTTTTTGTCATTAAATGATCAATATAAACCTTCTTATAATATTGCTATAACTTCTGTCATGCGGAATATAAAAATCACGTGGTTAGTTTGTGTAATTTGTCCATGTTATATTTAAATTTTTCTGTGTCAAATGTTTTGACTGGGAAGGCTGGTCACTTATCGAGGTCTATGCATGAAGATGCAAGAAATTCGTTCCCCTCTTTCTCTCTCTAGAATTCTTACACCTCAACCCAAAAAGATCCCCTTCCTTTCCATTCCTTATCCTATTTATAGATATTTACAAGATATTTACAAGATATTTACTGATTGCTGGATCTGGGCCTATTCCTCCATAAGCCCTGGTCACCTTTGATGGGCTTACTCGCGTTCGGCCCATATGGCAGTGTCTTTATATGGGCCGACCCAGCTGTACGAACTGAATGTAGTGTTTGCGAGTCGGATCCGGCCCATGTCGTCCGGGGCCTCCTCAACTGCCCCCATAATTGCCCCTTATTTAATAAGGGGTAATTATTGATGGCGTCTCATCATGATGTTGACGGCTCGAGATAACCACGTGGGGGAGCGGACGGTCAGATCCAGAATCAATGCTCCGGGGCTCGAGGAATTTCTCGCCTTCCCGACGCTTCGGCCCTCGGGCCCCCTCGCCTTTATAATGCTCTAGAATTCCACTTCACTTCCCTTTACCGTCTCCATCATCAGTCAAGTCTCTCTCTTTCTAGAACAGTGCTAAGCTTTTTCTGGTGAAATCCTTCAAGAGTCATTCTTCCAGCGATCTTGCAGTCCTCCGAGGTTAGTTTCGTTCTTTTTTACTTTCGGCAGGCTTCCATTTACCCCCTTTTAGATTCTTCTAGCACTTCCACCATGGTTGTAGATCTGGATGTTCTTCGTATGAGACTTAGACTTCCTGACAACATCGAAGTTAGGGTTTGCCCCCAAGACGTTAACATTATGACCGGCGCCGGCCTCCTGCCCGGCGAAGTCTTATTCACGAACCTTCAATTGAATGTTGTTAGGTTCCCTCTGCACCCTTTCTTTAGTTATGTCTTCAATAGATTGGGGATATCCCCTCTGCAGGTCAACCCCAACTTCTTTAGAATCATATCTGTTATGCTCTTGTTGATGCGTGACAGAAATCTGGACCTCGACCTCATAGACCTCCTTCTGTGCTATAAGGTCAGTAAGATCCGTACTAACGAACCCTTCTACCACCTCTACCCGTTCGAGAAGATGTCCATATGTACGGACACAATAAAATCTGAGAAGGGTTGGAGGGATAGCATCGTGGGCATTAGTGGGGCTTGGTCTTCGCCGGCTGCAGAGGATTACCCAATCCCGAGCGCCTTTGGTGTCTGTTCTGTCTCCTCCTATAAGAAATTCAAATCTCATAAACATGACTGCCCCTGCGAAACATGCGTTCCTCGTTTTTGCACTTTCTTATGCCGTTCCTTGGGAATACCTTGTGATGACTTGAGCTATAGTGTTTGCAGGGATAGGAGTAACTACTTGAAGAAATACGTTCTGAACGATATTCCTTCCTGCTCAGATCTCCTCACTTCAGACAACCTCTTAGCGCTCTCTTCACTCGGCTACAACATGAGCAGACTTCAGATTCCTTCTTTTGGCAGGAAGAAAAATACTCCCCCAGCCACTCCTGCTGCTGGGGCGACCTCCTCTCCAGCGTCAGCTTCTTCCTCAGCCACCATATCTGACACTGTCCCGAGCGCAGTGGCTATTAACCCTATTGCCAGCGCCCCTGCTGCCAACCAGAACGCGTCCCCCCCAGCTACCATAGCTCCTGCTGCTGCGGGGGGCGGTCGGGACAAAGAACGAGGCAAAAGGCCTCATCTTGACAGTGAAGTCGATCCTGAGGAGGAGCCTCTCATTAGAAGGACCCGGGTCTCCGGGCCGGGTGCTCTCTTGCACCGAGCGATCAGAGCTCCTGCTCCCTCTGGGCCTGCTGCAGCTGGTGGCTCTGCTTCTGCTTCAGGCCCCCCTTCTATCCCCACCTTACCGCCATGGGCCCCTCGGTACACCCGAACGGATGGGACGTTCGTGAAACCGAACGAGACCATGCTGAAGGATGGCCAGACCGCTATGGCCTACTACAGGAGCATGTGGACTCCGAAGGACCTTGAGGCGGCAAAGGGCCTTTCCCAGAAGGATGTGTTCAGCCGCTTTCCCCAATCTGCTATGGAGGTGACTTTTTATTTTCTAACTCATGAATTCTCTCATATTATTTGGTCTTGCCTTCGCCCGACCTGACTATTGGCTTAACCGTTTTTAGTGTGCACCTATGCAGACATTGTTCGGAATGATGGCCATGCAGAAGCAGGTGGAGATGGGAACGCCAGGGCCCGTAAGTTTTCTGACAGCCTGGAGGTGGCTAATAAAGAAAACGACCTCCTCGCCATGAAGAATACCGAGGTACTGGTTCGGCTTGACAAAACTGAGCAAGAGAGAGATGTCCTGAAGAAGGAGAATGATTCCCTTCAGGATGAGAAGGACGCCCTCCAGCTTGAGAAGAGCGTCTGGCAGACTGAGCGGGAATCAATTAGAGAAGAGAAGGCAGAACTCCAGCGCCTTCTAGCTGATGAACAGTCTGCTCGGATGGCTTTTGAAAAAAGAGCTCTGGACGAGCGTACCGCTCTGATCGACGCGATCAGCAGAGTGGGTGGTGGGATGCTGGCCCTTCACGCTCGGTTCTCAAGGGTCGGTGCTCTTAGGTATGCTCAAGGATTCCGGGAAGGTTTCGCCGACCGGGTTCCGGATGAGGGACAGACCAGCTCCACTCCGGATGAGGTAGACAAGGATCTGGGGATCGAACCTCTGGGGGTCTATGTCGACCCAGAACCCACCGAAGCGGAGCGCATATTCGATGAGTGCCAGGACATTGCTTCCTCAAGGATCATCACAGCTCCTCCTACCGCTCTGCCACTGACCGCTCCTCAATCGTCAACCGTGGTTCCTTCCATAGCCACTGCTGACGCTGAACCCCAGCCGAACGATTCAGTCATTCACCTTGATTCCCCACCTCATGAAGGTGAGACGGCTGATGGGGCCGAGGAGGCGAGTCGGCACGACCAGGATGCTGTTGGTACTGAGGCGTCTAGCTAGGGCTCCTTTGAATTCTTCCATTCCATATCTTTTTGTAATGATGGACATCTCTCTTTTGTAAACTCAATGCTCAATATTAATGAAACGACAGAACTCTTTTTTCCCTATGTGTTGTGCTCTATTCAACTTATCTTCAATACATACATATCTTTTCTCTCTTTTTCTTTTATATTAGCTTTGCCGTGTGTTTGTTTATGGCAAGTGCCTGGCGCTCGGCTAGAATGCCACTTGCCACTTGGCTTTAAATTTTTAGCAAGTGTCTGGCGTTCGGCTCATGGTGCCAGCTGCCACTTATCTTGCTTAAGTGCCTGGCGCTCGGCTAGAATGCCACTTGCCACTTGGCTTTAAGTTTTTAGCAAGTGTCTGGCGTTCGGCTTATAGTGCCAGCTGCCACTTATCTTGTTTAAGTGCCTGGCGCTCGGCTAGAATGCCACTTGCCACTTGGCTTTAAGTTTTTAGCAAGTGTCTGGCGTTCGGCTTATAGTGCCAGCTGCCACTTATCTTGCTTAAGTGCCTGGCGCTCGGCTAGAATGCCACTTGCCACTTGGCTTTAAATTTTTAGCAAGTGTCTGGCGTTTGGCTTATAGTGTCAGCTGCCACTTATCTTGCTTAAGTGCCTGGCGCTCGGCTAGAATGCCACTTGCCACTTGGCTTTAAGTTTTTAGCAAGTGTCTGACGTTCGGCTTATAGTGCCAGCTGCCACTTATCTTGCTTAAGTGCCTGGCGCTCGGCTAGAATGCCACTTGCCACTTGGCTTTAAATTTTTAGCAAGTGTCTGGCGTTCGGCTTATAGTGCCAGCTGCCACTTATCTTGCTTAAGTGCCTGGCGCTCGGCTAGAATGCCACTTGCCACTTGGCTTTAAGTTTTTATAGTAGACCGTTGGAAAAGAAAGTTCTTTTTTGTAAATTTCAGTAACTTGCTCATTCATACGTATTTGATTGACAACAAACAACATCCAACTAAAGCCGGAACTTAGCTTTTATTGGTAGTACCTCTTCAGAGACGTGGCATTCCAGGGCTTGCTGACCAACCTTCCCGCCATGGTTTCCAACGTATATGCCCCCTTGCCAATGACTTCTGCAATTCTGTATGGGCCTTCCCAGGGTGGCATCATTTTTTTGACCATCCCCACCTTTCTTTTCAGAGCCAGATCGCCAAGGGCAAAATCCCTGTGTTTTACTCTCTTGTTGTGACTATTCGCCAGCACTTGCTGATACGATGCTAGCCTTATAGCCGCTGCGTCCCTCCTTTCGTCTATCATATCGAGGTTCAATCTTAACATCTTGTCGTTCTGATCTCGACTCCATGCTAAGCTTCTGATAGTGGGGACTAAATGCTCAACCGGTATAACTGCCTCGGTACCATACGCCATTACGAACGGGCTCTCCCCAGTCGGCCGCCTTGGGGTGGTTCTGTAAGCCCATAAAACGTTCGGGAGTTCGTCCAACCACTTCCCCTTATGATCTTCCAGCTTCTTCTTAATGCAGGCGAAAATGGTTCTGTTTGTGATTTCTGCTTGTCCGTTGGCCTGAGGATGACTTACTGCAGCCAACTTCTGGTTGATTCCATACTCCTCCAGCAGCTTTCTTACTTGCCTGCTGTCGAGGTTTGTGCCATTGTCCATGACTATTGATCTGGGAACACCGAAACGGCAGATAATATTGTTCCAAATAAATCGTCTCACATGAGTCTGAGTCACGCTAGGATATGGTTCTGCTTCCACCCATTTAGTGAAGTAATCCGTGGCCAGTAACACATACTTGTTCTGAGCTCTTGCAGTTGGCAGAGGACCGACCACATCCATCCCCCATTGCGCG